GATGTTTCAGTAAGATCAGGGAAGGTGGTAAAAGAGGGGGAGGTGTGGCATTGTTAGGCAAGGACAGTATTACGGTGGCAGAAAGGACGTTTGATGAGGACTCGTCTACTGAGGTAGTATGGGCTGAGGTTAGAAACAGGAAAGGAGAGGTCACCCTGTTGGGAGTTTTCTATAGGCCTCCGAAAAGTTCCAGAGATGTAGAGGAAAAGATTGTAAAGATGATTCTGGATAGGAGCGAAAGTAACAGGGTAGTTGTTATGGGGGACTTTAACTTTTCAAATATTGACTGGAAACGCTATAGTTCGAGTACTTCAGATGGGTCAGTTTTTGTCCAATGTGTGCAGGAGGGTTTCCTGGCACAGTATGTAGATAGCCAACAAGAGGCGAGGCCACATTGGATTTGGTACTGGGTAATGAACCAGGCCAGGTGTTAGATTTGGAGGTAGGTGAGCACTTTGGTGATAGTGACCACAATTCAGTTACGTTTACTTTAGCGATGGAAAGGGACAGGTATATACCGCAGGGCAAGAGTTATAGTTGGGGGAAAGGCAATTATGAGGCAATCAGGCAAGATTTAGGACGCATAGGATGGAGAAGGAAACTGCAGGGGCTGGGCACAATTGAAATGTGGAGCTTGTTCAAGGAACAGCTACTGCATGTCCTTGAGAAGTATGTACCTGTCAGGCAGGGAGGAAGTGGTCGAGCGAGGGAACCGTGGTTTACTAAAGAAGTTGAATCTCTTGTCAAGAGGAAGAAGGAGGCTTATGTGGAGATGAGGCGTGAAGGCTCAGTGAGGGCGCTTGAGAGTTACAAGTTAGCCAGGAAGGACCTAAAGAGAGAGCTAAGAAGAGCCAGGAGGGGACATGAGAAGTCTTTAGCAGGTAGGATCAAGGAAAACCCTAAAGCTTTCTATAGGTATGTCAGGAATAAAAGAATGTCTAGAGTAAGATTGGGGCCGGTCAAGGACAGTAGTGGGAAGTTGTGCGTGGAGTCCAAAGAGATAGGAGAGGCGCTAAATGAATATTTTTCGTCAGTATTCATGCAGGAAAAAGACAATGTTGTTGAGGAGAATACTGAGATACAGGCTATTAGACTAGATGGGATTGAGGTTCATAAGGAGGAGGTGTTAGCAATTCTGGAAGGTGTGAAAATAGATAAGTCCCCTGGGCCGGATGGGATTTATCCTAGGATTCTCTGGGAAGCTAGAGAGGAGATTGCAGAGCCTTTGGCTTTGATCTTTATGTCGTCATTGTCTTCAGGAATAGTGCCAGAAGACTGGAGACTAGCAAATGTTGTCCCCTTGTTCAAGAAGGGGAGTAGAGACAACCCTGGTAATTATAGACCAGTGAGCCTTACTTCGGTTGTGGGTAAAGTGTTGGAAAGGATTATAAGAGATAGGATTTATAATCATCTAGAAAGGAATAATTTGATTAGGGATAGTCAACACGGTTTTGTGAAGGGTAGGTCGTGCCTCACAAACCTTATTGAGTTCTTTGAGAAGGTGACCAAACAGGTGGATGAGGGTAAAGCGTTTGATGTGGTGTATATGGATTTCAGTAAAGCGTTCGATAAGGTTCCCCATGGTAGACTATTGCAGAAAATATGGAGGCATGGGATTGAGGGTGATTTAGCGGTTTGGATCAGAAATTGGCTAGCTGTAAGAAGACAGAGGGTGGTGGTTGATGGGAAATGTTCATCCTGGAGTTCAGTTACTAGTGGTATACCTCAAGGATCTGTTTTGGGGCCACTGCTGTTTGTCATTTTTATAAATGGCCTGGATGAGGGCATAGAAGGATGGGTTAGTAAATTTGCGGATGACACCAAAGTCGGTGGAGTTGTGGATAGTGCGGAAGGATGTTGCAGGTTACAGAGGGACATAGATAAGCTGCAGAGCTGGGCTGAGAGGTGGCAAATGGAGTTTAATGCGGAAAAGTGTGAGGTGATTCACTTTGGAAGGAGTAACAGGAATACAGAGTACTGGGCTAATGATAAGATTCTTGGTAGTGTGGATGAGCAGAGAGATCTCGGTGTCCATGTGCATAGATTCCTGAAAGTTGCCACCCAGGTTGATAGGGTTGTTAAGAAGGCGTACGGTGTGTTAGGTTTTTTTGGAAGAGGGATTGAGTTTCGGAGCCATGAGGTCATGTTGCAGCTGTACAAAACTCTGGTGCAGCCGCACTTGGAGTATTACGTACAGTTCTGGTCACCGCATTATAGGGAGGATGTGAAAGCATTGGAAAGGGTGCAGGGGAGATTTACCAGGATGTTGCCTGGTATGGAGGGAAGGTCTTATGAGGAAAGGCTGAGGGACTTGAGGCTGTTTTCGTTAGAGAGAAGAATGTTAAGAGGTGACTTAATAGAGACATACAAGATGATCAGAGGATTAGATAGGGTGGACAGTGGGAGCCTCTTTCCTCGGATGGTGGTGGCTAGCACGAGGGGACATAGCTTTAAATTGAGGGGTGATAGATATAGGACAGATGTCAGAGGTAGGTTCTTTACTCAGAGAGTAGTAAGGGCGTGGAATGCCCTGCCTGCAAAAGTAGTAGACTCGCCAAATTTAAGGGCATTTAAATGGTCATTGGATAAACATATGGATGATAATGGAATAGTTTAGGTTAGATGGGCTTCAGATTGGTTTCACAGGTTGGCGCAACATCGAGGGCCGAAGGGCCTGTACTGCGCTGTAATGTTCTATGTTCTTCAGAAAAATTCTTCTGAAGAAGGGTCTAGACCTGAAACGTCAGCTTTCCTGCTCCTCTGATGCTGCTTGGCCTGCTGTGTTCATCCAGCTCTACACCTTGTTATCTCAGATTCTCCAGCATTGGCAGTTCCTCCTATCTCTGATTCAAATACTAGTCTCCCTTTCCTTAACAGTTTCTCAGTTATTCTTTGTTGTATTCTATAAAATACCCAAACCTCAGATTAATTACTATTTCTAACAATAATCTAGGCCTTATCATTTAATTTTTTACAATCCTGACTTTCTTTATTAGCTATGGTTGACTGAACTTTTTTGAATTCTTCTACATTGATGGAATATATAGTTGTTGGAAGTTGTGTCATAATTCTTTACAGCTTATCTATTTCTTATGTAGAGTCATGCATTGTAATGTATTTTCCCAATCCTGATCAGCCAATCTGTGCCTCCCACTTGCATCATTTCCCAGATTCACATTTATCACTCTTGTTTCAGATTGAACTTTCAAACAATATAAAATTCTATCATATTGTGGTCACTCATTCCTAAAGGATCTTTTACAGGATTGCTAATTAGCCTTTTTTCATTGCATAACACTACATCCAAAATACCCTGTCCTCCAGTCAGCTTCTCAGCGTAGTGCTCTAGAAAACCATCCCTCACATACTCCACAATCTTAACCTCCACAGCTTTAGAGCTTAGTCTTTGTGCAGATTGAAGTTACCCATCATAACTGTGTTACCCACACTCCAAGCTTTGCTCATCTCCTGATTAATACTGTGCCCTACACTGCCACTATCTCATTCCCCTCTATTTTACTTGCTCCCACTCAGTCCAAGTCACACGTCGTTGTCCTGATCTGGTATCCTCCCTTACTAATCACATCCTTAATGATCAGCGCAACTTCACCTCCTTTTCCTCTTGTCTGTCCTTCCTAAATGGTGAATATCCTTGAATATTCAGTTCCCAGTCCTGGTCACCGTGCAGCCATGTTTCTGTAATGACAATCAGATCATACCCATGAATCTCTAATTGTGCCTTTAGATTGTCTCTCTTGATGTGAATGTTGTGTGTATTCAGGGAGAGTGCCCTTAACTGGGTTTTGTTGACATCATTTCACTTTCGATACATACTCAGTGCTTAGCTTTGTTCCTTCTGCCATCTAACCTCCCCAACATTGTTCAACTTCCTGTTACCAACTTCACTTCCTTCTAATTTGGGTTACCCCTCAGATTCCCACTGCCCTAACAAGCCAATTTAATCCTATCCCAACAGCACTAGCAAATCTCCCTGTGAGGAGACCAGTCGCAGTGCCATTAAGGTATAACTGGTACAACTTGTACAGGTTCCACCTGCCCCACAGCCAGGGTCAGTGCCTCAGAGGTTTGATGCACTCTCTCCTTTACCTGCTCCCCAGCCACGTGTTCAACTGGTCAATGCTCCCGTTCTTATGATCACGAGAACGTGGTACTGGGAGTAATCCCGAGATTACTGCTCGAGGTCCTGCTTTTTATTTTCCTTCCCAACTCAGTGAAATCTGCCTTCAGGAGCTCATTGCTCTTCCTACCCATATCCCTGGTACCAATATATCGTCCCACAGACTATGTACTGCAGCCACTCTGTGACATCCTTGACCTGTGCCCCAGGGAGACAACACACCATCCTGGAGTTACATTTACTGCCACAGAAACAGCTGCCTGATCCCCTGACTGTGGAGTCCCCTATCACTATTGCTGTAAGGGTGGCAGAATTGCTTCTCTAAAGCATATTGTTGAACCAGATGGATTTTTATGGCAGTTAATAAGAAATTCATGGTCACTAAGATAAGTTTTCAATTCAAGTTATTAATTGAATTTAAATTCTCCCAGCTGCATGCATGTGTAGAGTATTAACCTGAGCATCTGGGCTACTAGCCCAGTGACAGCACCTGGATGTTACCAGCTCCGTCTTCTACAGCAGGTCCAGGAAACAGATCATTAGTCAGCTTTCTACTGACAGTGAATCTGCTTGATGAAGAGACTCACCTTAAACAGAGTTGAGTCTACTCAGTTTCTGATTGAGACTTGAGTGTTATGCTGCACTGATTTCCAGACTGAATCTATAATTCTATTTGATTGATGCTTCTGAGACGTGTTTACTGTTTTATTGTTCCTTCTGCATTTTCAAAAACAATGGAGGCAGAAATAAGCAGATCAGGAAGAGTTTGATTTCTCAGAAGACTGAGTGAAACAATGAGGCAATTTCATTCTTGTTCTGGTCTTGATGGATTGAAGTTAGTTGTGTTTTATTCCATTGTCAGTATCCCCACTTCCTCAAGAGAGATGCAAACAAACTACAGATAATGCTACAGAGGAGGAAAAGATACAAAAACCGGACAATTCTGGGTTACAAGACGCTGGCACTGGGGGCAATCGATATGGCGGAGGTAAGTTTTCACTGTCCAACATTATCGAGAACTGCTACAGATTCCCTTGTCATTCCTTTTCTCAATCACAGGCTGGCCTGCCTGGATACATTGTCACTTCCAATCTCATATTCTCCTCTTCCTCTTGTGAAAAACTTGAATCATTCACTCTTGCAATACTGTGGTGTTCTCATTCTTCATTCATTGTCAGGTCATGCAGCATCCCACAGATGGGGGACAAGTACTTGGACTACACTCCAACATGAAAGATTCTTCAGTGCGGGTTGCTGATATCAGTATCTACTCTCTCTCCAGCCAGCCAATTGACCATGAGGATAGCAATGTACAAACAGGGCCTAAGACAAAAGCCTCAGGTACATAACATGGTTAAGTGAGTATGTGGATTTAGTCCTTAATATTCACATTTGTGTCAAGGTATTTATCAAATAGGTAAAGCATTTCAGACGGGTAATCTTATGGTGGATATGACAGCAATGTGAATTTCCTCAAACAATTGGAAATGTCCAACTAACTCAGGAGCAAGTTCTCTGTGAAAAACAGAGGTCATAACCTGTATACAAGCAAATACACACAGAAAGCGACAGGGTCAGTACTCTCCCCAGCACTTAGAGAGTAATTCACCCAGTACAGAGAGAGAGTAATTCACACAGCACTGAGAGAGAGTAATTCACCCAGCACTGAGAGGGAGTAATTCACCCAGCCCTGAGAGAGTAATTCACCCAGCACTGAGAGGGAGTAATTCACCCAGCACTGAGAGAGAGTTATTCACCCAGCACGGAGAGGGAGTAATTCACCCAGCAGGGAGAGGGAGTAATTCGCCCAGCACTGAGAGAGAATAATTCACCCAGAACTGAGAGAGAGTAATTCACCCAGCCCTGAGAGAGAGTAATTCACCCA